AGGTTGTAGTATTTGGGGGTATTGTGAAAGTTTGGGCCTCATCGACCATTAGACGTGCTCACAATCGTGTTTATTCTCTTGAAAATCAATTTTCAAGAATTGTGTTTTTGAGTTACATCCAGATTAATTATTGCAAATGGCAGAACCATCACGACGTGGATCGAGAGTGTGGAGTTCCAATCTCGAGGTAGAAAAATTTGATGGAACCAATAATTTTGGTGTTTGGTGAGGCGAAGTTAGCGATTTGCTGGTCATGCAAGACCTCGATGTTTCTCTCCAAGAGGAGATGCCTGAAGACATGACAGAAGCAGAATGGACGAAATTAAATCGGCAAGCCTGTGGAATTATTCGATCCTGTCTTGGTAAGGATCAGAAATATCCATTTATGAAGGTTACCATGACGAAAGAATTATGGGACAAGCTTGAAGCGAAATATATGAAGAAGAGTGTGGAAAATAAACTCTATTTGAAGAAGAAACTCTTCCGTTTTGACTACAAGGAAGGTATATCAATGGCTGAGCATTTGGATGATTTTAACAAAATCATCACTAATTTGCTCAATCTTGATGTTAAGATTGATGACGAGGACAAGGCGTTGTTGTTATTAAACTCTTTGCCGAAATCCTACGAGTTTTTAGTAACGACCCTACTACATGGAATCACTAATATTGATTTTGAAGATGTTTCAAATGCCTTAATAAACAATGAGATGCGAAAGAAGGAAAAGGAGACGTATCAAAGCTCTAGCTCAAATGTTCTCACTGCTCATGGAAGGACTTCTACTTGGAAAAGGAACGAATGTGGAGAGTCTCGATTAAAGTCGAGAGGTAGATCTGATAATTGGAGAAAACTTGATAAAAATGAGTGTGCATATTGTCGACAGAAAGGCCATTAGAAAAAAGATTGTTCGATCTTAAAAGAGAAGGGGTCGAAGTCCAATGTGGTTAGAGATGACGACACTGATACAGATGATGCCTTGACAATCTCCCTATCAGCCAGCCAAACCAATGAATGGATTCTTGATTCTGGGTGCTCCTATCATATGTGTCCCAACAAAGAGATGTTTTTGGACTTCAAAAAGTTCAATGGTGGAGTTGTCTATATGGGCAAGGATAGTACTTGCAAGATAATGGGAATCGGCTCAGTACAAATCAAGATGTTTGATGGGGTTATACGAAAACTCAAAGATGTGAGGTATGTCCCTGAATTGAAGAAAAATTTGATTTCACCTGGCGTTTTGGATGCGAGTTGTTATCGCATCATTTTGGAAGGAGGGAATTTGAAAGTAGCTCGTGGAGCTTTGGTGGCAATTACAGGAACTAGAAGAGGTAGCATATACTACCTCAATGGAACCAAAATAATTGGGCATGCTGCTGTGGCAAGTTCGAAAGAACAAGACATATCGAAATTATGGCACATGCGACTCGGGCATGCTGGTGAGAAGGCGCTTCAGACATTGGTGAACCAAGGAGTCCTTAAGGGTGTCACAACTAGAAAAATTGATTTCTGTGAACATTGTATATTTGGTAAACAAAAAATGTGAAGTTTGGTACAGCTATACACCAAACAAAGAGCATTTTGGATTATGTTCACACTGATGTATGGGGTCCCACAAAAAATGTCTCATTGGGAGGAAAGAGGTGGTTTGTCACCTTTATTGATGACTACTCGAAGAGAGTTTGGATGTATCTCATAAGGCACAAAAACGAGGTTCTCCAAATCTTCCTAGAGTGGAAGAAAATGGTAGAGAATCAGACGGACAAGAAAATCAAAAAGCTGAGATCAGACAACGGGGGAGAATATACTTATGATCCATTCCTTAAAGTATGTCAAGATGAAAGGATCGTTCGACACTTCACTGTTCCTGGTAAGCCACAACAAAATGGAATTGCTGAGAGAATGAACCAGACATTAATAGAGAAGGTTCGATGCATATTGTCTCAAGCAGGATTGAGTAAGGTATTTTGGGCTTAGGCTCTCAGTTATGCATTTCACTTGGTGAATCGTTTACCTTTCTGGAAACGGTGGGAGAACTCCGCTTGAGGTATGGTTAGGTAGTCCTGTTAGTGATTATGATAAATTGCATGTGTTTGGGTGTCCTGCTTATTATCATGTGACAGACTCAAAGTTGGATCCTAGAGCAAAAAAAGCCAAGTTTATGAGCTTTAGCAAAGGTGTGAAGGGCTATAGGTTATGGTGTCCAGAAACAAATAAGATTATTAATAGTCGAGATGTGACATTCGATGAGTCTGGAATGTTTTTGCAGAAAATTGAAAATAATGACGAGGCATTGAAGCAGGTGGAGAAGGTGGTGTTCTCTCCTGATGTGGTTGCTCCTACTGAAGAACCTATTGATCAGGTAAATAAATTTGATGTCTTAAAGCAGAAAGAGCAAAGTCTTGAGGAGCAAAGCCTTAAATGAAAGAGTGGAGGAACCTGAGTCAATCGCCAAGAATAGACCACGAAGGGTAATTCGAAAACCTGCAAGGTTTGATGATACGATAGCATATGCTTTCTCTTTGATTGATGGAGTTCCTAACAGTTACAAAGATGCTATTCAGAGCCCGGATAGCTTACACTGGCAAGAGGCTGTGAATCAGGAGATAGCATCATTGGAGATAAATCAAACTTGGGATTTGGTACAACTTCCAAAAGGTAAGAAGAAAATTGGTTGTAAATGGGTTTTTGCAAAAAAGGAAGACTCTTCTGGTATACGTTATAAGGCTCGACTTGTGGCTAAAGGCTACGCACAAAAAGAAGGTATTGATTACAATGAAATTTTCTCACCTGTGGTAAAACATTCTTCCATTCGAATTTTGTTGGCTTTGGCTGCTCAATTTAATCTTGAGCTTGCACAATTCGATGTAAAAACTGCTTTTTTGCATGGAGATTTGAAAGAAGAAATATATGTGGTGCAACCAGTCGGTTTCCGAGTAGTTGGACAGCAACATTTAGTATGCAGATTGAAGAAATCTTTGTATGGGCTGAAGCAATCCCCTCGCCAATGGTATAAAAGGTTTGATCATTTCATGGTAGAGCATATGTATACTCATAGTCAATTTGACCATTGTGTGTCAATTTGACCATTGTGTGTATTATCGGTGTCTTGATGATGGATCGTTTATCTATTTGCTCTTATATGTTTATGATATGTTAATTGCTTCGAAGAGACAGGTGGAGATTGATAAGCTCAAAGATGAGCTTTCTAAAACATTTGAAATGAAAGACTTAGGCAATGCAAAGAAAATAATTGGAATGGAGATAGAGCGAGATCAGAAAAAAGGTACAGTCTGGTTGACTCAGTCTCAATATCTACGCAAGGTATTGTCAAGATTTAGTTTGAATAATTCAACCAAACCCGTTAGTACTCCACTTGCTCCTCATTTCAAACTTAGTGCTTCCATGTGTCCAAGTTCTGATGATGACAAAAGGTATATGGAGAACATTCCTTATACAAATGTTGTTGGTGCGTTAATGTATGCTATGGTGTGTACTCGACCTGATCTTTCACACGCAGTAAGCATGGTGAGTCGTTATATGCATAATCCTGGTAAAGAGCATTGGCAGGCTGTAAAATGGATTCTTAGGTACATTCTTGGCATTATTGATGTTGGTATTAAGTTTCAAAACAAGAAATGTTTAATCTTGACAATTGTGTAGCTGGTTATGTGGATTCTGATTATGCTGGTGATTTGGATAAGCGACGATCTACTACGGGTTATTTATTTACTATGGCTGGTGGACTTGTTTGTTGGCGTTCAACATTGCAGTCTAGTGTTGCATTGTCTACCACTGAAGCAGAGTATATGGCACTAACGGAAGCCTTTAAAGAAGCTATTTGGATGCATGGTTTGATCAATGACTTGGGTATTTTGCAGGAACATATAGATGTATTTTGTGATAGCCAGAGCACTATTTGCTTGTCAAAAAATCAAGTCCATCATGCTCGTACAAAACACATTGATGTCCGTTTTTACTTTATTCGAGAAATTATTAGCAAAGGGGATATTCGTTTATTAAAAATTGGAACTGCTGATAACCCTACTAATATGTTGACAAAGGTGATCGCTCGTGAAAAGTTCTGGCATTGTTTGGATTTCATCAACGTCGGAAGGAAGTAGTGTGTTGACGTGGTAGCAACCAAAATCGCTATCAACTTGGAGATCTTATGACAAGGTGGAGATTGTTAAACACTGTCATAAGCCCTATTCTCTAGGATCAAGACCTATTCTCAAGGTCTTTTTAGGCTTGTTAGTTTATCTTTAGGTTTAGCAGAAGGCTATATAATGCCATTCTTTCTGCCGTTGAAATCATCAAGTTTTTTGAGTGTCATATTGTATGTCTTGAGTAACTTTGGTGTTGTGAGTACATTTGTTCCGCTTTCGGCGCACAACATAAGTTTCATGGGGCTAATACATGTCTCACTCTTTTGAGGGTTAATGGTACTTTTTTTTCAACATTTGCACGTCGTCTTCACTTAAGTTTATTCGCACCTTTTGTTATAAGGGTCTTCATTAGCATGACTTTTTCGACATTATCGCCCTTAATATCAAACTTCGCATCCACAAAATAAGATTCGACTTGTGAAAATAGGTTGGAGTTAGCTTCACTTTCTTGATACCAACTTTGTAAAACTTCGCTCAAGAAGGGCAAAAACTACCATTCTATTTTGTGAATCCACGGACGACCTAAGAACATCTTGTTGGTGGTTCTCGAATTGTAACGACCGATCTTCGAAAATATCGAATCACGGGTCGCCACGCGGACTCAAGAGAAAAAAAAAAATTCAATACTTCTTGTAGTTTGAACAGGGGACTAAAAGTTAAAATGCCTGATATACATTTCAAAAAAAAAAAAAAAAAAAAACTACAAAACACATAACGAAAATCGGCGGGGTCACATAAAAAGAAACGGTTACAAAATATCACAGGTTTTCCAAAAACGTCAAAAAATCATAACCAAAACAACATGGGAGAGGAGGACTTAATCTATGGGCCCCCTTCTACAGCTGCACGACTCCACACGTCCCCGCCACCGACCCAGATCTACTTTTCTCCTAAAAAAATAGCAAACAACACAGAATGAGTATATAAACAATACCCAGTAAGCAACTTGCTCGTAAGCTCTTGTCGAACTTAACCCTATTCATGGGATCCTAAGTTTTGAGCTCAAATAGTCACTAGTCAGAGACCTAGTGGTGCCTGACAACATCTAACTATTCCTAAGATCAGTAACTACCTGCCACTAAGGCCAGGTCAGTCACTACCTGTCTTACGCCATTGTCGGCTCAGATCACTAAAACTACCTGTCTTAGGAAGAGTAACTACTTGTCATTATGCCGCTCGGTTGGATCAGTAAAAGATCATGGCTCGTCCCACTAAGTACCGTCTCTGACGTGTTATCACAGTAATATACTATGATTACCCTCAACCTCTTGTGGGTGACTACAAAAATGGTACACTATCATTATGTGCTTCATAACTTATAATAACTAGCACCTAATAAATGATCCAACTCCCAAAGGGTAACAATGGGCTACCCAAGCCCCACGCCCAATGCCTAACAAAGAACCACGACAACAACACGTCGCCATGTTAAGTCACATAATAACCATAATAACCATCTAGCTCAACATAAAAACATATCATTGCATATGCCTATACAAAATTTCACATTCATACCAACGAAACTATATAACCATAACGACAACCAAAGTACAACCACACACATTATCGAAGTACCACCTCCATGAACTAACTTTATCCATTCCTAAATACGTTACTAAATTGTTTGGCCACAAATCCAAACTGACTCCTACAAGCAATTACAAAAAACTTGCTCTAGATGGTTACTTACTTGATCATAGACTTCCCAAAACTTTATCCAGTATTCAAATGTCCCCTTGACTAAGCTTGGAATTTTCCTATAATAAGGCATTTATGGAATGTGTGAATCAAGTACCTAAATTTGAATAAAGACGAATCAGATGGTGTGAAATGGGAAAACAAATCGGGTTTCAGTTCTGTACAGGTGGGTCGGGTCGGGTCAGGTCATGCCCCCTCAGTTTTCGGCCTCTTCTTCCCACCTTCTTCTTGATCTTTCTTTCCTCTCAACACCCCATGTCTTCTTCTTCACAAGGACTCACCAACTTCCCTCGACAATAACCTAGGTACACCGATCCCGTGAAAGGTATTAGGGTTTTGGAAAACAACAACGAAAATCACACCACTAGGACGTATCGTCGGCGTTCTCCCTTCCTCAACCTTTCGGTCCACCGTTGCTAATGAGCGCTTCAAGCTCTGTCGTTCGTCTCCAACGCTCCACCCTCTCCTTTGTCTTCTTCTTCTTTCTTCTTTTCTCTTTTCTCCCCACGACTTTTTTTTTTAAACCCTAAAAGAGTAGTAGAGCTGGCATTTCTCTCTCCTCACTTATTGCGAGCTGTACGACTCTTACAATCTTCCCCCCTTAAGAACTTTCGTCCCCGAAAGTTTCTAAATCCCTGAACAACATGGGGTACTTGGCCCTCATCTCGCTCTCTAACTCCCAGGTTGCTTCCTCAATGCGATGGTTATTCCATACCACCTTGACAAGCGATATCTCCTTATTTCTAAGCTTATGTATTTTCATGTCTATAGTCCCGATGGGCTCCTCCTCGTAACTTAAGCCCTCCCTCAAAGGAAGATTTGCATACTCAATCACATGAGAAGGATCTGGGGTGTACTTACGCAACATAGACACGTGGAACACATTGTGAACAGCAGCCAGAGCAGGAGGCAAGGCTAGTCGGTACGCCACAAGACCAACTCTCTCCGAGACGTCGAAAGGACTGATAAAGCTTGGTCTCAGTTTGTCCTTCCTTCTGAACCTCATCACCCCCCTCATGGGTGCTACTTTTAGGAAGACGTGATCGCCAACAGTAAATTCTAGAGCCTTGCGCCGCCTGTCTATATAACTCTTTTGTCGGCTTTGTGCAATTTGAATTTGTACTCTGATCTTTTGCACAGCTGCATTCGTTTGTTGGACTAACTCTGGCCCTAACAGTTGTCGCCTTCCCACTTCTTCCCAGGAAATTGGAGACCGACACCTTCGCCCGTATAGGGCCTCAAAAGGTGTCATCTGTATGGTCGCCTGGTAACTATTATTATATGCAAATTCAATAAGGTGCAGGTATTCGTCCCAACCACAAGCGAAGTCAATCACGCATGCTCGCAACATGTCTTCTAGGACCTAATTCAACCTTTCGGTTTGGCCGTCAGTCTGGGGGTGGAACGCTGTACTGAATCTGAGTTGGGTCCCCATTGCTTTTTGCAAACTTTTCCAAAAGTGGGAGGTAAAACATAAATCTTTGTATGACACAATGGAGATCGGAATCCCATGCAATCTGACAATTTGTTCCGAATATAGCTTCGCCCATTTATCTCCTGTGTAAGTAGCCTTACCGGTGATGAAGTGGGCGGATTTCGTCAGTCTATCAATAATCACCCAAATAATCGTATATCCCTTCGAGGTCTTGGGTAATCCGGTTACAAAGTCCATGGCTATATCCTCCCACTTCCACTGTGGAATGTCTAGGGGTTGTAGTAAGCCTGAGGGTCTCTGTCTAGGGGCCTTCACCTGTTGACAAGTGAGACACCTACTAACTTTGAGGGCAACATCCCGCTTCATCCCTGGCCACCAATAACACTTCTTCAGGTCACGATAGATCTTGGTACTACCAGGGTGCACTGAATAAAGAGATTCATGTGCTTCAGTTAGGAGGTCTTTTTTGATCTGCTCATCTGCGGGGACACATAGTCGTCCCTGCCATAGTAATCCTCCTTTGGAAGACATGGTAAATCCTTCCTCCCTCAATGCCTCATTTTGTTGGCAAATCAAGTACAAGCGAGGGTCGTTGCTCTGAGCATTTATGATTTGCTGCCTCAGATCTGGCTGGACCCTAAGTTGACTCAATCTTCCTATGGTGCCTCTTGCCACTACTTCTATTCCAGCTGCCATGTCCTCCTGCAACATATACTCCCTTGTAATTGACACCGAAGAGTGAGTGGTCCTCCTACTCAAGCGACTTGACCTGACCTGACCCACCTGTGTAGAACCGAAACCCGATTTGTTTTCCCATTTCACACCATCTGATTCGTCTTTATTCGGATTTAGGTACTTGACTCACACATTCCATAAATGCCTTATTATAGGAAAATTTCAAGCTTAGTCAAGGGGACATTTGAAGACTCGATAAAGTTTTGGGAAGTCTACGATCAAGTAAGTAACCATCTAGAGCAAGTTTTTTGAAATTGTTTGTAGGAGTCGGTTTGGATTTGTGACCAAACAATTTAGTAACGTATTTAGGAATGGATAAAGTTAGTTCATGGAGGTAGTACTTCGATAATGTGTGTGGTTGTACTTTGGGTGTCGTTATGGTTATATAGTTTCGTTGGCATGAATGTGAAATTTCGTATAAGCATATGCAATGGTATGTTTTTATGTTGAGCTAGATGGTTATTATGGTTATTATGTGACTTAGCATGACGACGTGTTGTTGTCGTGGTTCTTTGTTAGGCATTGGGTGTGGGGCTTGAGTAGCCCATTGTTACCCTTTGGGAGTTGGATCATTTATGAGGTGCTAGTTATTATAAGTTATGAAGCCCATAATGATACTATGCCGTTTTCGTAGTCACCCACAAGGGGTTGAAGGTAATCATAGTATATTACTGTGATAACACGTCAAAGATGGTACTTAGTGGGACGAGCCATGACCTTTTACTGATCCAGCCGAGCGACATAGTGACAGGTAGTTACTGTTCCTAAGACAGGTAGTTTTAGTGATCTGAGCCGACAAGGGCGTAAGACAGGTAGTGACTGACCTGGCCTAGCGAGGCACAGTGGCAGGTAATTACTGATCTTAGGAACAGTTAGATGTTGCCAGGCACCAATAGGTCTATGACTAGTGACTATTCAAACTTAAAACTTAGGATCCCGTGAATAGGGCTAAGTTCGACAAGAGCTTACGAGCAAGTTGCTTACTGGGTATTGTTTATATACTCATTCTATGTTGTTTGCTATTTTTTCAGGAGAAAAGTAGATCTGGGTCGGTGGCGGGGACGTGTGGAGTCGTGCAGCTGCAGAAGGGGGCCCTTAGATTGAGTTCTCTTCTCCCATGTCGTTTTGGTTATGATTTTTTGACGTTTTTGGAAAACAACACCGAAAATCACACCACTAGGACTTACCGTCGGCGTTCTCCCTTTCTCAACCGTTCGGCCCACCGTTGCTAACGAGTGCTTCAAGCTCCGTCGTTCATCTCCAATGCTCCACCCTCTCCTCTGTCTTCTTCTTCTTTCTTCTTTTCTCTTTTCTCCCCGCGGTCTCTCTTTTTTTTTTTTAACCCTCAAAGAGTAGTGACATTTCTCTCTCCTCACTTATTGGCTCTTACACGAATATATGACATGGAACAATTTGTTGGCCTTTAGGCCCCAATGATAATTTCTAGATGTATCATGTCAATTTCTCGGTTATCTGCCTTAGTTGAAGCCTAACGTGCTATTTGATAGGTCCTCCATTGATTCATTTGGTAGCAAGCGGGTTCGCTCCTTTTCCTCATAAACTATGAGTTCTCTCCTTATTGTTTCCTGGACATACTTCCTCCAAACGATTGTCGTGGAAGTTTTTTTAGGAGCAACCTTAGTAATGTTATTGGTCTGCGAGAACGAGGGATATCCTCGTCTTCCTCATCTACCGACTTAAGTTTCCTTGTCTTCTTTTTAACCTTTCTTATTTTGAGTGTAACTTCTTCTCCTATAATTTTGGTACGAGCCAGACTCTTCTGAATAAATTTGATTGTTTTCTTGTTACCTTCAATAGACTCATACGTTGGGATCTTCTATTGGAACCGAACAACAATAAGCTCAAAGGTTACAAATTGGATCAAACTTTCTCCTTGATTATATAATATACCAAAGGTGGTTCAACGTTAGAATTTATCATTTCTATAACACGATTCGTCTGAGCTTCCTTTTCAAGATCTAGTCAATCTAAAATTAACTTGTTTGTACAAAACACTTCTCCATTAGATCATCGGTGAATATAATATTTGCAGTAGTTAAGGTCATTTACTTTTTCTAACTATTTCGATTGTTTGCATTTAGAAAAGTAGCTGAGTTGTTTCTTTAACAGTTGCTTGAACGTGTCAGGAATGTCAGTCTAAAAGTGGAAAAAAATTTCCTACCTTTCTTTTATGGTGAGGTGACGTCTCTCGGAGAAGCATAAGATTAAACATATAAATACCTTTGTTTTACCTATGACTCAAACACACATGGTTAGTGATTTATTCGGAAACTAAATCAAATAGGTCTTTTTAACTCAGGAGTAGAGTAACATCGTAGTAAGACGTAAATCATCCGTTCAAACTCGATAAGGGACTTTGGCTTTTGTCATGAAACTCCCACGGGAGTATTCATATCTGATTGAAGGGAGAATTAGATGTCAATCCTCATCATCAATTTTCATTTATTAACTCCAAAAAGACCCTGACCTGACTTCATCAAATAATTGCATTGTAGAAAAAGAAAGAATGAAAAAAAAAAAATTAGAAATAAAAAAAGTACAGAAATTCTTGATTGCATCACGAATTCCATTTTGTTTGAACTCGATATGGATAAAAGATCTTCCTACGTTATGCTATTCAATTCTCGACGATGAATCAATTTGATAGCTCCGATATTGTTATTCATGATATTTTAATACGATTCGATATCATCGAGATGCAAGACAACCCATTGAATTTACAAGCGAAACATTTATCATCGCTATGAGATTTAATCCCGAGTTAAACGTATTAAGAATATTCAACTTCGAGAGAGTCTGTACATACTAATTACTATTATGATTTAAATCTGTAATCAATAGAGTCAGTACATGCTAATTGCCACTGAACTATGATAAATTTTCGAGTTCAACAACGTATAAGTATTAGTATTTAAATTTTTTGGTAAATAATATAAATCGAACCGATCAATATATATTAAGAAATTTATGAATATAAAAATGAGTTGTAAATATATTTAAAGTTTGAAAACTTATTGTTTAAATTTATATTTGATTAAGTTTAACCTAATTTTAATTTAAGTAGGAGGATTCCTTAGGAAAATTTTAATTTTGAAGGCAAATTTGACAAATCTGACAAATCGATCGAATAAAAAGGACATTCAACCCAATTTCGCAGCAAGTGGCCATGGGCTGAAGGCGGCGGTACAAAATTCCGACGTTCATAACAAAAAACGAAATTCGAAATTCGAAATATTTTAGCGAAGAACAGAAGAAGAAGAACAAGAAGAAGAAGCGCAGCTACTGAAGTAGGTTTTCTTCTCGATCAATCATTTTTGATATTGTCAGTCATCCTAGGTTTTCAATTTCAGACGGGATCCCTTCTCCACTCTTTTGTTGTTGTTTTTAATTTTTTTTGTTATTCTGGAGCCGCCGTAATCTGTTTTCCTGGGCGAAATTAGGAAATCAGGGCATTTTTGAGTTTCTTCTTGTTTCTGAAATTAGTGTGTAATTCGTGAGTAGTTGAGAAGGGGGAGAGAGAGAGAGAGAGGGAGAGGGAGAGATGGATGATTATCAAGAAATGGAGAGGTTTGGTATGGAGAATGATTACGATGATGGCCAATGGATTGGGGGCGAGTTTTATTACCGAAAGCGCAAAGAGAAGAGGTCCCAAACGAAAGATGATGTTCTTTATGGTGTGTTCGCGACTGGGTCGGATTCGGACTCTGATGGTGATGGATTTTCGTCTCGGAAGCGCCGCAAGGACCGCGACTTGTCTAGGAAACCTGACCTCACCAAGCCTGTCAATTTTGTATCCACCGGCACCGTCATGCCCAACCAGGAGATTGATAAGATTTCCAAGGATGGAGATGCTGAGAATGTGGAAGATAACCGGCCTGGCCTTGGCTTGGGCTCTAGCACGTCTGGTTCTGGCCTGGGTTTTAGTTCTTCGACTGCTGACAGAAATCTTGATGGGTTTAAGGAGAATGGTTCTACTGTTGATGGAGATGAAGGTGGTGATGACTTCTTTTTGCCCACTGCGTTTGGGAGAAAGATAAAGGAGGGAGCTGAAAGGAGGGAGAGGGAAAGAGTGAAATCACAGATAGAGAAGAAAAGTCAAGTGGTAGCCGGGGGAAGAAAAGATTCTGACACTGGGAATGTTGGAGCCTTTGAGAAGCATACCAAGGGCATCGGTCTGAAGCTACTCGAAAAAATGGGATACAAGGGAGGTGGGCTTGGAAAAAACAAACAAGGGATTGTAGCTCCTATCGAAGCTAAAATGAGGCCTAAGCATATGGGTATGGGTTTTAATGACTTCAAAGAGGCACCTAAGGTACAAGCTTTGCAGGAACTTGAGGAGAAAACATTGCCCCAACCAACGACGAAGGCAAAGGAGAGGCTATGGTCGAAGCAAGTAAGGTCTAAAAAGAAGAAAGAAGCATATTTAACAGCTGAGGAATTACTGGCTAGCAAGCAGGACCAGGCATTGGAGGTTGTTCAAAAGGTGTTTGATATGCGTGGTCCTCAGGTGCGGGTGTTAACAAATTTAGAGAACTTGAACGCTGAAGAGAAAGCCCGAGAAAATGACATCCCTATGCCAGAGCTTCAGCATAATGTGAGGTTGATTGTAGATTTGGCTGAGTTGGATATTCAAAAAATTGATAGAGATTTGAGAAATGAGAAGGAAACTGCACTGAGCCTACAGGAAGAGAAGGAAAAGTTAGAGATTGAGCTGGCTCGTCAGAAGAAGCAGATGGATAGTATGGAAGAAATTATGAGCATGATAGAACGAATAGGAGAAGATAATTCTGCTGGAACATTGACATTAGATGGACTTGCTAAGTGCTTCAGTGGCTTGCAGAGAAAATTTAGTGATGAGTACAAGTTATGTAACTTGTCTTGCATTGCATGTTCATTTGCACTACCTTTGTTTATTAGAGTATTTCAGGGCTGGGATCCTCTTCAAAATCCTTCTCATGGGTTAGAAGTGATATTGTTGTGGAAGACTCTCCTTCAAGATGAAGACTGTGTTGACATTTGGGATGTGACGTCGCCTTATACTCTCCTGGTTTCAGAAGTCGTGCTACCTGCCGTACGAATCTCTGGCATAAATACTTGGCAGGCTAGGGATCCTGAACCAATGCTTCGGTTCTTAGAGTCTTGGGAAAAATTGCTGCCTCCTTCAGTCCTTCATACCGTATTGGACAATGTTGTCATGCCTAAACTTGCAAGTGCAGTAGATTTGTGGGAACCTCAGCGAGATCCTGTTCCTATCCACATGTGGGTACATCCATGGCTGCCATTGTTAGGGCATAAGCTGGAGGGTATGTATCAGGTCATACGTACAAAGTTGAGTTTTGTTCTTGGTGCTTGGCACCCGAGTGATGCTTCTGCCTATACTATATTATCACCCTGGAAAGCTGTATTTGATTCTGCTAGTTGGGAGCAGCTTATGTGTCGATTTATTGTACCTAAATTGCAGCTTGTCTTGCAAGAATTCCAAGTTAATCCAGGAAATCAGAAACTTGATCATTTTTACTGGGTTACTAGTTGGGCTTCTGCCATACCTATCCACATCATGGTTGATATGATGGAGAAATTCTTCTTCTCCAAGTGGCTACAGGTATTGTATCACTGGTTATGTTCAAATCCAAATTTTGAGGAGGTTACAAAGTGGTACATGGGCTGGAAAGAACTCTTCCCAAAGGAGCTTCTGGCTAATGAAAGTATCAGGTACCAGCTTAGTTGTGGCCTGGATATGATGAATCAAGCCGTTGAAGGGATGGAGGTAGTTCAGCCAGGTTTGAAAGAGAATATTTCTTACCTTCGGGTTCTTGAGCAACGACAGTTCGAAGCTCAGCAGAAAGCTGCTGCGCAAGCTAAACAACAAGGCTCAGCTGGATTGGGTAATGCTTCTCATTTGGACAGTATGGGTGATACAGTTGAGATGACTCTGAAAGAAGTACTTGAGGCCCATGCTCAACAGTACGGTTTGCTCTTTAAGCCTAAACCTGGAAGAATGCACAATGGGCACCAGATATATGGCTTTGGAAATGTAAGCATAATAGTTGATGCTCTAAATCAAAAAGTGTACGCCCAAACTGAGGAATCATGGTCCCTAGTATCCCTTGAACGATTACTGGACATGCACACTAGTTCTACAGCAAAGAGATGGTAGATGTAAGCTTGGCATAACTTTTTGAAGGAATTTCTCATGTTGTGAAGCAACTTTAAGCAGTGTTTAGATTATGTAGACTGCTTGTACTATAGGAGAAACTATAAGGTTAGTATGGCTTCAATCTCTCAGTCATTGATGGGCAAGTCTTTTTCACCATTAGATATGATCTGAAAATTCTTTTTTCATCAATATGTACTGAATTTTGTCTTTTTTATGTGAATTACTATCTTATCATGAATTAATCTCAATCTCTAGCTTTGCTGGTAAAATTCTGTGATGTCTTCTATCACCATTTGCGTTTTTAATAGGTACAGATAAAATACTGAAAGGTGATTCATGATGAAGATTTTTATTCTAAATTTATTGATTCCTTATTAGTTTTTGGTTCATGTCCCAATGACAATACTTGATAATTATATGGTTAAATTCAGAATTGGATCTGACATGTAAATAATGAACATGTTTTAAATAGAAACTTAGGTTTTTAGATTTAGAGGCTAAAGATGGAGTTTAATAGGCGGTCATAAAGGGAATTTAATGAGAGTTGAGATTAAAAGTAGCTTTTCTGAATCAAGAAGCACTATAGATGCTGATATCCAAAACGAGCGCTATGTTCTTCCTAAAAACTTATGAACCTAATGCTTTGTTCTTTGCTGGAGAGGTATAGGAATGAAAGAGGTTACTTTCTGGAACTGGCTAGGAATAGCAACAATTGTTATAAGGTGTATGCAACTGGGGTGATTGCAGGGGGGTGCAAGCTCTGGTTTCATGAAGAACAATAGAATGATGGAATACAGTTTTGAATTTGTGTTAATGATGGGTCTTCTGTCCCTTATATGGTGTTCTGATGCAGGAGAAAAGACAATTAGAGACAAAAGTAGGGAATGTTTTTTATTTTGGGGGGAGTGTGCGCTTCCACTTTAGAATTCCCAGCGAAGTTGTCAATATACTGATAGATGCATAAGAAAAATTATCTGGGAATGAGCCGATGGAAGGGATGATAACCATATCAAATAGATTGGTGTGTCAAATCGTGAGACTTTTTTTTTGTTTTAATGCTTCCTATTTATTTTGTTTAACATTTAACTTTATTTTGTTGTCTAAACTGGAGATTGTTGTACTAAAAACTATAATTCTGAACTTTGTTTGAAATGAATCTTGCAATTGGAATTGAAATATGTATATCTAAATTTTTGCATCAAGCGTTGTTTAGCATTGACATGTGTATTATTATGTTAACATGTTTCTTAACCATCCCTGTCTTAACGTCTTTTTGCGTTCCTTCTTTCTTTCTTCTGAGATAGATTGTTCTGAATCTTTGCTTCTTAGCGTGCGCAATTGTTGCAAAAATTCAAATAATATCAGACATAAAAGAAAAATGTAATGGAAATTGAAGTTTCCTAGCATTATATACATTTTATTTGTGTAGATGCTTCAATTAATAACTTGGTTAGATGCTTTCTGAATTCAAATCTCTGGCTTCTTGTCATCTTGTGCCTTTAGTTACACAAAATCTATTTTGATTTATATTGGTTCATTATCCTTAAATCCTTCCTATTGAATACTTCATCTCTGGATGATCATGGTTACAAACCTGATATATATATATATATATATATAGAAACCGCATTGAGTTTGAGAAAGTTACAGGTACTGTGTTATATAGGCTGATTAACTGGAGGTCACTTTTAACTAATGGGTGGATGGCAAATAATATTAAGTTTGTTAGTTAGCACTTCGTCAGCCACAACGGTAGGAAATTTTGGGAAATCCGGATATTTGGGTAGATATCGAGTATTGTAGGGAGTAGTAAGCTACTACCTTTGTACTTAGAAAATGGTAGCAAAGTAGTAAGATATTGAGTATTGTAACATTACTTCTGTAATGTTGGGAAACTGGTAGCAAAGTATTCCCTTGTGGATTTATTGTGCGCTGCTCAGAAAATTTGATGATTGAAGTGTTTCTAATAGTTGGGAGGATACTTTTACAATAGATTGTGCAGGATCATGACACCACTAAGACAACATGCCTCAAAATCAAATTTCGCAAAAAAATTATTCACATTTAGTAGATGGCAACATCAATCAAGAGCAAAATCTCTTTCTATATATATACACAATAGACAATGGATGGTCTCTATTGTAATTATATGTTCTTAACAAATTAGTGTTTAAGCAACATGGCTTCCATCTTCCTTGTCTTGGCTGCCTTCTTTAGTTTCTCCAACGCCACTAGTCCAATTTGTCTTACTCTTTCTCTGGACAACCCTATGCTGAAAAACTCATACCACAAAGTGCATTTTGTCAGCTAACTTAGAACATCATCGTCATTTGCTCGATTAAGTTTCTTTGGCTTACCGTTTGCTTATTTCCTCCCATGTCAGACACTCGTTATCCAGACCGTGGTATAGGCGTATGATCTCTCTTTCTCGGTCCCCAAGTGTCGTAGTTATGAGATTGTTAACCTCAGCCTGCCAATATTTTTCAGTGTATAAGCAAACAACTCATCATTCGTCACCTTATATTGATGAAAATAGTATAGTTTTTCACTCTTTTAAGTCTATTTTCTTGGTTTTGTGGTCGATTATTTTACCTTCAGAACCCATATGTCTGTTCCATGCCATGGGTTGTTCTCGAGGCAGTTATCTGCAATATACTGCAAAAACAAAGGAATTCAAGCAACGCCAAAAATTTAGAACAAAGTTCTGAAAAACATGTTATGTTTGAAGAAACAGAGTTTCTATTCAAGTCTTACACTATGATGAGTTTCGCCTGGAAGACCATTTAATGAAGGAAATGCCTCTCGGTCTAGCGAGAACACCTTGCTTATTGCCTAAAAGAGATGATTGGTTGGCTTAATAAGGAAAATGAAAACAGAGATTCATTAGGATAAAGCACAGTAAATGGGTTATTAGAAATTTGTAGTACCTCTGTGGCGTTCTTGACTTTCTTTTTGGACATGTTTAAGGATTCTGCAATCCTCTGGGACAAATAGACAAGTGTTAAGGAAATCCCAAAGTCCACAAAGTTCATGTTGGTTAGTATGGGTATTTCTGTTTTATTTTTACTCATGTCTATTTTCATTTTTCCGTTTTGTTTCCAAGACTTTTTATGTATATGGTAGTCCAATGTTCTATGAATACGTTTCAAATGATTATTTCTGCATAAACGGTGATGTTATGTATATGGTAGCGACTTTAGGTTAGTAAAAAAATCTAGGGTCGTTATAGTTGGTATCAGAGCTAGTCACTGGATGGTGTACTAGCGAGGATGCTGAGCCCCGAAGGGGGGTGGACACCGAGCGGTGTGCCAGTGAGGACGCTGAGTCCTGAAGGAGGGTGGATTGTTAGATCCCACAGTGATTGGAGAGAGGAACGAGTGCTAGCGAGGATGTTGGGCCTGAAGGGGGGTTAATTGTGAGATCCCACTCCAATTGGAGAGGGGAACGAGTGCCAGCGAGGATGCGCTGGGTCTTGAAGGGGGTGGACTGTGAGATCCCACATTGGTTGGGGAGGAGAATGAAACATTCTTTATAAGGGTGTGAAAATCTCTCCCTAGCAGACATGTTTTAAAAACTTTGAGGGGAAGCCCGAAAAGGAAAGTCCAAAGAAAACAATATATGTTAGCGGTGGACTTGAGCTGATATAGTTCACATCTTAGTCTAAGTTTGTGGTCTTTAATGTCAGTAAGCAGCGTTTAGCAATATTTTAATGTCAGTAAGCAGTGTTCAGCAATATTTTGCTGCAGTGTTATAACAGTTAGTTATCCACTTACATCAATTGATGGAGTGATTCCTTTCTCTTGCAGTCTAACTTTAGCGTTGCGAATCAATCCTAATCTTTCATGCATATGAGTCGGTAATCTTAGCATTCTTGAATTCTCAACTAATGCTTTTGAAACACCCTGCACATGGATGAAGACATTCAACTGCTGTCAGTGCGTGCTATAACATGGTATGCATTCTCCAATTTAGATGCTTACATTAACTGATTTAATATCTCTCCTTTTATTCTTGGCAAATCAACATGTTTGATCTCCAAGTGTTCATGATACAGAAGTGTAGTTGTTTTCTCACCTGGCGTATCCACCAATAAACATAGGTTGAGATTTTAAACCCCTTTGAAGAATCAAACTTCTCTATCCCACGGAGAAGTCCAATTAAGCCACCCTACATTAGACATGAACAAACTCTTCAATTACAGGGAAGCTAATAGGTGTAGAGTTAGCTCTGTAGGGGCTGTCATAAGCTCTTCACCTGAACTAAGTCATCCATTTCAGCCCCCATTTTGTCGTATCTTTGCGCAATAGACATAACCAAACGAACATTGCTCATTGCTAGCTTCTCTCTTGCTAATGAACATTCCATTACACTTGACCGTAATTTGGCACGAGAAATCTTGAGTGATATTGCTAGTTGGTCTTCAGAGGGCTCACATCCTAATCTTTCCTTTAGTCTGAGGTTCATTACAGAGGTTAGGGAGAACAAAATGTGAAGTTCATGATATCATTATTAGAGCATCAGTTTTGACAATGGAGTAACAGTAGCATATAAGCATATGATGGGTTTCTTTTTCACATCAGTTCGGTTAGGATAAGACTAATCATGAGAAGAAAACGGCCGGAAAAGAGTAAGTGTTGAATGGTTTTATCCCACCCTGAGGCCATCCAAGTAGGAATAATACTATCTACTACTATTACTCAATTGTATACGTAAATGTTGTGAGATCCCACGTTGGTTCGAGAGGGGAACGGAGTATTCCTTATAAGGGTGTGGAAACCTCTCCTTAGTAGACACGTTTTAAAACGGTGAGGTTGACGGCGATGCGTAATGGGTCAAAACAGACAATATCTACTAGCGGTGAGCTTTGGTTGTTACAAATGGTATCAGAACTAGACACCAGGCGGTATGCCAACAAGGACGTTAGGCTCCGAAGGAGGGTGGATTTGTGAGATCTCACATTGATTAGAGAGAGAAACGAGTGCTAGCGAGAACGCTGGGTCTTGAAGGGGGGTGGATTGTGAGATCCCACATTGATTGGAGAGGGGAACGAGTGTCAGCGAGGATGCTGGGCCCCGAAGGGGGTTGGATTGTGAGATCCCACATTGATTGGAGAGGGGAACGAGTGTCAGCGAGGATGCTGGGCCCCGAAGGGGGGTTGGATTGTGAGATTTCACATCGGTTGGAGAGGAAAACGAAACATTCTTTACAAGGGTGTGGAAACCTCTCCTTAGCAGACACGTTTTAAAAATCTTGAGGGCTAGCTCAAAAGGGAAAACCCAAAGAAAACAATATCTGGTAGCTGTGAGCTTGGGTAGTTACAAAGCGGAAAACATAAAGAGGACAATATCTGCTAGTTATAAAGCGGAAAACTCAAACAGGACAATATCTGCTAGCTGTGGGCTTGGATAGTACAAAGCTTTGGAGTAACTATGAAAATCTGAATAAGAACATAAGAATGTGCTGACCTGGTTTTACGCTCCTCCAATGCGAGACCGACTTTGATTTTCTTCGAAAGGCGTACAACTTCAGCATGAGAAAGCAACTCTTCACTTAATAAACCTCTCACATACCCCTTTAATCGATTTTGTAATAGCTCAGGATTGATTGTAGGCCTCAACTGTTTGCTGATTCTTGGCTGAGCCATAAGAACATGTTTGCTCTGTATTTTCCTCTTAGAACTCATTCTCCTTTGTCGTGCAGACACACCAGAACAAGTGACAGGTACTTTCTTCTGTGTTTTTCCTCTCAGCGCATCGGCCAACACGGTTTGATCGAAAGACAGATTCCATTGCTTCTCCAGCATAGACTTTTGCAGCAAAAGAAGAGCCTCCACAGTACATTTCAGATCAGTTTCTTCATCTTCCCAGATCGTGCTATTATGAAGCCTTGGTTCAGCAGTTGGAGAAGAGGGTGTATCTACATGTTCCTTCACAGCTTTGATGCAATGCCCGTGCCGATTCGACGACTGATTTCTCGGAGAAAAGTTAGCCGAACTTCTTGCTGTTATTACCACACTCTTTGTAGGGGAAACCTGGGTTTGTCCAATCCTGTGGTCATTGGCATACAAAACCTTTTCTGTGAAATCGGAATAATAGGATGAAGAATTGAACAGCCTCTTGGCTGCACCAAGCCCAGTTATTGCAGTTGTTGTTGCCATCATAATATCATATGGCTTCTCTTCTTCTTGTGCACAAAACTCTTAATCATCACACGATGAACACAAAATCAAAGAACACCAAATCAAAACTTCCAAGTCTATTTGCTTCACCAGAGCCACAAACAGCCCTAAATTCATGAAACAGAGTAGAAAGTGGATTAAATTCCCACCTGAAATCTACAAACAATCAAAGAAAATAAAGTGGACAAGAACTTAGAAGAACAAAATGATATCCAGATTGAGTTTCAGTCACTACAAATCAACATGGAAACACCAAAAACAACAGAACCCAGAAACAGAAATTATTGAATGAATTGAAACATGAAAGAGTGGATGAATTAAGAACCTCGAAAATGGAGAAAATGGAGGAAGACGATGGAGTCTTCACTCCTCAACTCTAGAGAGAGAGAGTGACGATGAATCCAAGATCAAATGGTTTGCTGCTGTTGTTGGTGGCTTCATGAATACCATCAATTTTTTTTTTTGAATTCGATGAAAAATTTATGGTGCGGTTTAATTAAAAAATTCATGGAAAAAAAGGAGAAAATGGGAATTAAAAAAAAAAAAAATAGAGAGGAAAATGTTTGAGCATTAAGGATATGGGAAACTGAGATCCTATTGGTTGGAATAGATCTTGGGTCCAGCTTTGTGTGGCCTGCAATTTATTTATTTATTTTTCATTATATATATATATGTATGTAGATGTCTATACACATGCCAACATTTTTTTTTCCTTTTCTTGTTACGTGTGGAAAGAACTTCTGAATAATATTCTCTCGGTCTCAATTTTACCCTCAATATTTTAAAAGCTCTGGATTAAGTCTCTTGACACAATTTGTTAATATAAAGAGATATGTTATTATAAGAAAACTTACGTACATAATATAATAACTAGGGGTGTACATTCAACCCGACAACTCGACTAACCCAACATTGGATTGGGTTGGATTAACATTTCTGGTAGGGTTGGGTTCATTTTTCTAAACCCGAACTAAATCGGGTTGGTTTCAGATTCGTGGGCAAAACTCTCGGATTGACCCGAGCCAAATTCAAATATATAAAATATATTAAGAATCTTTCCGATTTGTCATAGTGGTACTTCGGTTTGTTTAAGAAGACTCACGAGTTCGAATCCAGTCAAATACATGTTTCTTTGTATTTTCTTTTTCTTTTATACATATATTTAATTTAAATGTTATATATATATATATATATATATATATATTAATTTTAAAGCATATTATTTTCATTTTACGAATTCTAAAAGTTCAAATGTCCATGTGGACGGTTGTAACCTTTATGTATATATAATTTCAAACATTAGTTATTATATAGTTATTATATAGTTATGTTAACGTTCATATATATATAAATTTTTAAAGAATATTGTTTTCATTTTATGAATTCTAAAAATTCAAATGTTTTGACCACTTAAATTGTGGACATTATTTTCATTTTATGTTCTATGTTTATAAATTATATATATATATATATATATATATAATTTCAAAGCATATTGTTTTCATTTTATGGATTCTAAAAGTTTAAATGTTTTTTACGTTCTAGTGTACACTTAAATAATGGACAAGATTGGATCCTAAAAAATTAGTTTAAATATATTTAAAGATTTTGTTATTAAACTAATACGAGCCATTCTAAATTTTAATATATTTATATTCTATTTGTTAACATTATTTATCACATTTATATATATATATTTTATTTTTCTAGTTGTAGAGGGCTCTATTATATCACCATTTATATATATATATATTATTTATTTATTTATTTATTTTATTATAATAAGCTCTATATCAGTTAAAATATTTATTATATATATATTATATACCATATTTTTAAATTAATCATTTTTATTATTATTTAATTTTATGATAAATCCTTACCTTTTTTTAATTTTAATCAAATTTCAAGAAAGGTCTATATTTAGTGGTTTTTAGTTTTTATAACAATGTTGAAGTATGTTAATATGTTAACCTTTTCCGTAGTTGTTTTTTTTTTTATTGAATTTGTTTCTTTTTTTGAATAATTATGGATTGATTTGAGTTTGTTTGTGAACTTTTAATATATTTTATTAGTATACGAATAATTATAAATTGTGGATAAATAAAACTTAAAAAAAAAAATTGACAACCCAACCCGAAAATAGAGGGTTGTGTTGGGTTGTGAAAAGTTTCGAGTTGGGTTGGGTAAAACAAATCCTTCAACTCAACCCAACACGGACCATGTAACAACATATTTTTATCTCATTGGTGTGTGAGGTTCGAAAGATGTTAATAATTAAAGTTGAAATAATAGGAAAAGAATACCGATTTAGATTAAGACCAAAATAAAAATACGTTTAAATAAATGGAAGTAAAGGTGGTTACAAGTCATTTAATTAAAAAAAAAAAAAAAAATTAAAGCACAGTATTTACAAATTCAGTGAAATTAGAACTTTATTTTCATATTAATTTTTCTTTTTTACTTCATATAAGACCAAAACTACAAATCCTGATATATTAAAAACTATCGACAATTATATACAACTTTGATCTGAAGTAACAATGACGAAAATATATGACGTCCATTTATTATGATTCTCATACATAACCGAACAAAAAATTAATTGAAAACGTGATATAGGGAAAAAATATGAACAACAATTTTATGCAGTGAGATCGTATAAGACTTGAACTATGATCGTGAAGAGATATTAAAATATATCACTAGTACGATTATGTACGGTAGCCTTTCTTCTAGATCTGACCTAAAAATAAAAATCTTAGCTTCTCATCTCAAAAACAGGTAAATTAAAGTTTTGGTCCAGGAAATTTGAGATTTGTATTAATTTAGTCTTTAAATTTTAAAATTTAACAATTAAGTCCCGGTGATTTTAGTAATTTAAGAATTTTTAAAATACATAATAATCATTATTGAAATAAATTAGAATGATAATGATGTATGCATATTTGACCAAACATTTCACTTCTAAAATTTAAAAATTGATTGATGATAGGAGTCATGAATTCACGTAAAATGTTCCCAAATGATAAAAGGATGATTTCATGTAAAAGTATTTCACAAAATTAATTGAAGCTTTTTAATTAATAAAAAACAAAGCCCGGGTCATAAAAAGATTAGTCCGGTTGGGTCGGATCCAATCCACGAAACTTGAGACCCAACCTCCAATCAACATAGTCAAAGGAAAAATAAATTACAATCAACAGGACTGTCTCGATTTTGATGTCCTTGGCTCTCTGATTACCTAATTCAGTTTGTGGGAGAGTTATAGGTCCCATGAGAGAACAGGACTGTCTCGATTTTGGCTTAGACTTTCTCCACGGATCTAATTCAGTCCGTGGGGGAGTTATAGGACTAGAGTAGTTCTCATGAGGGAAAAGGATTATCCCGACCTTGGTCTAGACTTTCTCCACGGACCTAATTCGATCCATGGGGGAGTTATAGGTCCATTATCGGTTCCGAACAATATTTTGTCCCTTTTATCTCGATTTTACCCTCCGAGTCATTTTTCCTTTTTGGTTGATCCCTCGAATTCAAAATCTCGAATTTGAAAATAAATGATTAAATTAAAAACATAATTTGCTTGATATATGATGCCGAAGTAATATTCATAAATTACAAATTTTGGTAATCAGAGAGCAGAAGTAATGAACAATGGCTTCTGATTTTCAACTCCAATGGCTTCTCCCACCTTCAACAAACCATCAAGTTCTTCCACAAATCTTTCCATGGCTGGAGCAGGCAAGCACAGAGGCACCAAAATCCCCTTTTCTCCCTTCTTGTTCTTCGATGGTATATAAAAGCTTGCCACGCCGGGGATAGCTCCGACGCCTCCCTTCGCCGGTCCGCCGTACGCAGCCTTCCCCCACCCAAAGTCCACCTCTCCAAACCCAGCCCTCGTTACATCCGACACAAGATACGACCTGACCACAGTGAAATGAGGCCGCCCTTTCACCACCATAAGATCCGCCACAGATTTCATATACTCCTCTGTCACCGCCGCCTTCGCTTCCCGAACCAATTCCAAAGCATACCCAATTGGGTTCCCACAAAGCTTCCCTGCCGTGGTGACTGCCACCGGAAAAGCAAACGCGTTGCCGTAATACCCCAATGGCAATGGTGGGTTGAATTTGGATCGGGCGTTTACAATACAGAGCACTCGCACTTCCTCCTCTGGATCTGGGTTAAGGGATATGGTGCGGCAGCGCCAGAGACAGGCTGTGAGGATCTCGAAGGAGGAGGATTGTCGGAGGTGGGTCGGTAAGGCCTTGCGAATTGCAGAGATCTCCGATGGGCCAAAGAAGAATGAGCTATGCGCCATGTCGTCAAGCGGGATTATAGTGCCATTAATGTCAGCTACTTCATCATACTCGCGATGAACACACCTCACTTCAGGTGGGTCTCTCGCATTTAACAGCGCCCTTTGCCATACCGGCCGCACCGACGGAGTACTCGCCCCACGAGCCATTTCGCCGACGGCCATCATGAATTGGACAAGACCAGAGGCATCACTCATAGTATGATTCAAGCGCAGAGCAAATATAAACCCACCGCACTTAAGCCGTGTCACTTGAATCAGCAACAACGGGCAATTAAGAACACCATTAGAGCCAGGGACATCAAAAAGAAGCTCCTCCAGACATGGAAATGGAGGCTGAAGCGAATCCCCAAATTCCTCCAAGCGCACATCCGCCTCCGCTTCAATAAACAAAACCCCTTCTCCATTACACTCCACGAAGAGCTTCCGGCCAGGCCCTTCCCTCAGCCGACCCGCAAAAGGGTAGTAAAACACAAGCGTGTTGGCAATCGCGTTCTTTATAACCATCGCTGGGTCTCTCCCGGCCATGCGTGGGTCATGGCGGTAGAATTGGATTACAGGGATCTGAAATCGAAGGCCGTCTTGGTCGTCGATGTCGGAGAGCTGCTTGAATTCATGGGGCGTGGGGTTTGCAGGAGCCACGAGCTCCGGTGGGGACCTTCGGACATGGAAGAGAAGAGCAGGGGAGGAAGGCGGCGCCATTGAATTAGAAGAAGGATTGCAGAGAATTGAGTGTGATTTGCGATAGCCCAAGTGAGGAATTTATAGAGGGAGAAATGGGGGAAGGAATTGAAAGTTCTTGAATGGGAAATGAAGGGGGGAGCTACCAGACATTGTAGTGGCAGTTTCTTGTCCTGTTCTAACAACCATCGTAATCTGTTTCAGTTTTCACACCTCTGTAACAACATTTTTTAAGATATTTGTGTGTCACTTTGAGCATTTATGGGTATTTCATTAATAGAGTCAATGATTTGTATGTAAGGACTTTGTTAGAAATTTCATAATTATTTCTTCCCCAATTCAAGGAAGATTTGTCAGAAAGTAGTTGAATGTGAACATTTAATGGCAGTTGCAATTATTTTAAAATTTTGGCTAAATTATTTATATTTTACCTTAAAAAAACATCTTAGGGACGAAAACTTATAAAAAACACTTCTAAATTAACCTACCAAAAACTTAGATCAAAACTTCTAAAGAATCATAATAGTAAAGAGTTGATCTTGAAGCATAGGTTCATGACCCAAAGAAAGTATACCTCATCTTTTGGGCTAAGTTGAAGGGTTATGGTATGAAGGCGCCAAACATAGGTTGTGACAGGGTAAAGTTGGAGGGGACTAAATACTAATAATAACTTGGTCATATATTTACGATAGGATGACGACAAGTGAATCTAGGAAGGTCCCTTACGGTAAATAGAGCTCTTAACTATACTGAAAATATAGATGGAGCAAAAGTTCCACAGGCTATCACTACTATAGCCTTCTCTACTATAGCCTTCATGAATTGGAGTTTCGATGATCGTCACGGAACGGTAATCAGATGAAATTAATCTTGAAAAATTCAAACACATGCGTAGGAATGGGCTTCGAACTTGCGCACCATTTGAAAGGGTGGACACGTGTCAACTAGTAATTTGTGCACCCATCATGTAATAATCCGAAAATAATAATAATCATAATAAAAAAATAAATAAAATTAAAAAAAAAAAAAGAAAAGAAAGAAAGACGGCAGCAGCTTGAAGCTGCTGCCATGGAGAAAGGAGGAATGGACGGGTGGACTTGGGAGAAAAGAGAGGAGGATGGAGGTGTGGGATGAAGGAGTAGTTTTTGGAGTAAAATTGAAAGGGTAGAGAGTTTATGAGCCTGTGGGAGTCTGAAGAAAAGGGGAAAAAGAAAAAGAAAGAAAACAGAAGAATGTTCTAATCCGTGTTTTTCCCATAAACTTTTAAGGTTTTTTGGCGTTTGTTGTGACAACGTGCAAACCTAAGGATGGGGATGTTGGAAAGAGGGATAGTGAAAGAGATAGGAATGGATAGGAATAGATGAAAGCTACGGTGCTTTATTATTGTCTACGGACTCAATGCTCATAGTGTTACACAATTCCAGTAGTTATAGCTAATACACTGGACCAAAAATAGTAAATCATCGAAATCTAGAAAGAATTTAAATCTACTAACAATCTCCTAAAAATCTTGGTAGTTTGAATATTTGAATCATATCTCAACTACTTCAAATCATATCTTCATTTTGAATACTTTGAATCATATCTCAACACTCCCCCATGATTCAAAGTTGCAGATGTAAGTACAGAGCTTTTCTTCTGACAAGGGCTTCGTAAGTATGTCTGCTTTAACCCGTACAATGTCTGTCTCAACTTGTATACCTTTGTTTCTTTGTCTTCCTTTATGAATCCCTCTGGCGGTGTTACATAAACCTCTTCTTGTAAATCTCCATAAAGCTTTTCGTTTGGTAGGTCAACCATATCCCATGTTCCATCTTTCTTAACGGATTGCATCTCTACTGCCATGGCTTTCTTCCCGTCTTCTTTTTCAGTTGCTTCTTCATAATTCATATGGTCTGAAATAGTAAGAGCAAACTGACATGATGCATATATGTCAGCTAAAGATTTATACTTCCTTGGAGGTGTCTCATCCGAAAGTTCTTCAAGAGAAGAATTGCTATTAAGTGATGCTGAAGATGATGAATTTGACACACTTTGTGTTGCAGTGGAACCACTGGGAGATGCACTGGAGTTGACCCTTGTCTCTTCATTTGGGGAAACTTCAACTGTAATCTTTTGCTGCTCCTGTTCTTTACTCCAATCCCAACTCACGTTTTCATTAAATATTACATCTCTTCTAACTAAAATCTTTTCACTAACGGGGTTGTATAGTTTATATGCCTTTGATTGAGTACAATAGTCAATGAAAATGCATTTTTCAGATTTTTCATCAAGCTTTTGACAAGTTTGAGGATGTTTCAAAGCATAAGCAACACAACCAAAGATTCGTAAATGACTTACAGATGGTTTCCTTCCATGCCATGCTTCATAAGGAGTTCGATTCATAACCGCCTTTGTTGGTGAGATGTTTAATAGATAAACAGATGTTGCTACGGCTTCGGCCCAAAATTGGTTTGGAAGTCTCCTTGCTTGTAACATACTTCTTGCCATCTCCACAATAGTTCGATTTTTTCGTTCAGCGATTCCATTCTGTTCTGGAGTGTAGGGAGCTGTTAATTCCCTTTGGATGCCCTCTTCTTCACAAAAGAGATTGAAATCTTTAGATATGAACTCGCCACCTCTGTCTGTGCGAAGAACTTTAATGTGACAGCCACTTTGGTTCTCTACCATAGCTTTAAAAATCTGGAACTTCTGAAAAGTTTCTGACTTATGTTGTAGGAAGTAAACCCAGCTCATGCGACTATAGTCATCAACGAATAGTAAAAAGTATATACTTCCACCCAAGGACTTCGTTTGCATTGGCCCACATAAATCAGCATGAATTAGTTCTAGATAATGTGAAGCTCTTTTAACTTTTCCAACAGGAAAGGACTTCCTAGTCTGCTTGCCATAAATGCATCCTTCACATAAATTAGTTGAGTCAATTCTTGGTAATCCGAAAACCATACCTTTATCCCTAAGTATTTTCAGGCCGTTCATATGAAGATGTCCATATCTGAGATGCCATAATGTTGAATCATCTTTAATGCTAGCAGTAAGAGCAAAATCCTCCATGTTAGAAATATCAAGTGGAAACATCTTATTTGAAGTCATGGCACTTTGAACTTTATGACCTGATTTCTTATCTGTGATGACACATGTGTTATCATCAAATAGAACTGAGTGTCCTCTGGTCATTAATTGTCCAACACTCAATAAATTGTACCCTAAATCAGGTACAAATTGAACATTATCTAATTGTTTTATCTTACCGTGACTGGTTTCGACTTTCACTGTACCTTTTCCTTCAACTTGCATCTCTTTTGTATTTCCAAGTTGCACCTTAATCTTTTGCGTCTCATCAAGCTCTTTGAATAAGGATTTGGTGCCTGTCATATGGTTCGAGCATCCGCTATCAACAAACCATAAGCTACCTTTTTCCGGATTAGTATCCATGCACGCCACAAACAACTTATCTTCTTCTTCTTCATTCTCTGCTGCAAAATTCATTCGTTGATTTTTATACCAACAATCAGATTTTGTGTGACCATACCTTCTACAATGGTAACATTGTATGACATTCCTTTGTTCATTGAATTGTCTCTGTCCATCACTTCTCCACCTGTTATCACGATCACCATGGAAGTTGCGAAATCCTCCTCTTCCACGACTTCTACCTGCTAAATGAATATTTTCTCTTTCGTTATTGGTTGTCTCCTTCACTTGTAGTGCCTTTTCTTCGTTTCTTTCTGATGCTCTACTGATTCTTGCCTCATGAGCCTGAAGCGAGCCCATCAGTTCATCAACGGAGAGTATGGATAGATCCTTAGCTTCTTCTATGGCGGTCACCACATGGTCAAACTTTGGAGTCAAGCTTCTCAACACCTTTGCAACAATTGTTTCGTCTGAAATTTTCTCTCCATAGGTACGCATCTGACTGACTATTGCCATTGTTCTGGACAAAAAATCAGCAATTGATTCGCCATTCATCATGAGCAGAGTTTCAAAATCACTTCTTAAAGATTGCAATTTCACTGTTATGACTTTTGAATCTCCCTGAAACTCCTTCAGTAGAATTGACCATGCTTGCTTTGATGTGGTTGCTGCTGCAATTCGTGAAAAGATAGTCTCATGAACTGCTTGCTGAATAATGAATAGAGCGTCGACATCATTTTTCTTGGTTTCCCTTAGTGTCTCCTCTTCTTCAATTGTGGGTTCTGATATATCAACGAACCCGTACTCCACCAAGTCCCATAGCTCCTGCGATCTGAGCAAGGTCTTCATCTTGATGCTCCACCACTCATACTTCTCACCATTAAAGATTGGCAACAACGGTGCAAAGAAAGAAAAACCAGCTACTGCCATTTTTGTTTTGGAAAAGAAAATAATCACTCGCCCTCGTGTCGAACGAACTTGGCTCTGATACCAAAATTGTTGGAAAGAGGGATAGTGAAAGAGATAGGAATGGATAGGAATAGATGAAAGCTACGGTGCTTTATTATTGTCTACGGACTCAATGCTCATAGTGTTACACAATTCCAGTAGTTATAGCTAATACACTGGACCAAAAATAGTAAATCATCGAAATCTAGAAAGAATTTAAATCTACTAACAATCTCCTAAAAATCTTGGTAGTTTGAATATTTGAATCATATCTCAACTACTTCAAATCATATCTTCATTTTGAATACTTTGAATCATATCTCAACAGGGGAGACGATTGTGAAGGCTTTTCAGCCATTGAAGCTTTGAATTTAAGCTGAATCGAACGTTTATTCGAAGGTAACGAAAAATCCATATCACCGAACCTTTAAATTTTGATATCTTGGTTCATATTGCATAATAAATTATGAAATAGGGCTTGTTAGAACCGTAATTAGGAGATCTATAAAGTTGTAGAAGAAATCAGAACAACATCCGAGCTGTAGAGATGAAATATGGCTTCGGGACATAATTGGTATTAATAGAAAAGTTGGAAAATTTCGGAAAAAACGCAAGGAAGAAGAAGGAGCGCATGCACTACACGCAGGGCGCTTGAGGAGCCGCGACTGGGCGCGCTCCTTGCGCGTGAGAAAACTACCCCGAGCGTGTGAAGGCGCGTGCGTCATGGTTTTGGCTCCCGGTTTGTCCCGTTCGATTCGTTTTTGACCTGTTCTACCTAGATTGACCTATACTTACCTTGAAAATAGTAAAATATAGGTCTAATCGGAAGGAATGGTGTTGAAATACCCTATTAAAC